AAGAGTGGAATTAGACCATTATTTCTCAGTCAGCACATTTTAAAGTAGAACAAAGAGGATAATTCAAAACCTGAGATGCTGAACTAAATACTTCTAGATACTTGTAATACAAAATCTTCTGAATAGAACATTAGCAGCATAGTATATAGCTTCAAGAATAGCCAAACACCATTACATAGCATTTCAAAGTTCCACACAGCCAATGGTGGTACAAGCAAGGTAAATGGAGAGCAAGAGGTTTTTGTCAGCTCTATTTCAGACAAGGAGTCATTTCTAGAATATATAAAGAACTGAAAAACTCCCACATTTCCGTGTACATGGATAGGTAGTACTAATATATTAAAGGGGACAAACCTACTAAAATCAATCTACATGTTCAATGCAATCCCCATCAAAATGTTAACACAATTATATGCAGAAATTAGGACAATTTTCAGTTTCCTATGAAAACACAGAAAAATCCAAAATAGCAAAAACACTCCCAAATAACAGAAAAGAAATGCTGTAGGCATCAACAGCTCTGATTTAAGAGTGTTCCATAGAGCTATATTAATAACAAAAAGCATGGTGTTGAAACAAAAACCAGACTGCTAATCAATGGAATAGGATTGATGACTAGATGTTCCTCCAAAAAAAAAAAAAGGATAATGAAAATGTGGTACATTTACACATTTACTCAGACATTACAAAATTTAAATAATAAAATTTACAGGTAAATCCATGGAATCAGAAAAAAATCATCCTGAGTGAGATAACCCAGACACAGGAAGGCACATAGGGTATTATTCCCTTATATGTGGATAGTAGTTGTAAGTCAGTGATATCTAAGCTACAACCCATAGCCCCACAGAGGTTATAGAGCAGGGGAGGACAGATAGATTTCCCTAGGAAAGGGGACTAAAATAGACAGTTGTGGATGGATGGGATACGGTGGGCTGGAAAGTACAAAGTGGAGACAGGGAGGGAAGTCGGAGGGCAGGGAAAGGTTACAGGCGAAATGGCTAAAATAATGCTCCATTTGAGGGATAGCACGAAAACCTAATACAGTAGCAGCTTCCTAAAATATATACACTTAAAAGTCTAAAGGAAAACATCAAATAATGGGGGATATTGGACCCTAAGTGGACATCTCTTGTCACCAAATGAAACTACCGGCGTCAGGCGTGGAATACATTTGATTGAGATGTCTGCAAAAGGAGTCCCATAGGAACCTCCAAACAACACATGCTGTTGTCAAGACTCTCAGTTGTCTCCATAATGGCAAGGACCCACTGATGAAGACAACACCTACACAACTCACTGAACATGGAGAAGCCCAGCTGGTGCCCCCATAGAGCCCACACCAGTAAATGTTAGTTGCTGTGGGATGTTATGTATGGCAAATGTGTTGCTCTGGTTGGTTAGTAAAAAAAACACTGATTGGCCAGTAACCAGGAGGAAGTATAGGCGGGACAAGGAGGAGAAGAATTCTGGGAAGTTGAAAGCTGGGTCAGAGACACTGCCAGCCACCGCCATGACAAACAGCATGTGAAGATGCCGGTAAGCCACGAGCCACGTGGCAAGGTACAGATTTATAGAAATAGATTAACTTAAGATATAAGAGCAGTTAGCAAAAAGCCTGGTACGGCCATACAGTTTGTAAGCAATATAAGTCTCTGTGTTTACTTGGTTGGGTCTGAGTGGCTGTGGGACTGGCGGGTGAGAGAGATTTGTCCTGACTGTGGGCCAGGCAGGAAAACTCTAGCTACAGTTAGTGTCTTCCGTACAGGAAAGTACTCTGTAGTCTACCAAAAGAGAAAAGTCAGCACCAAGTGAGCCAAAACCCCTTTGATTTACAATGGTGACCTGTCTGCAAGTTAAGCTGATTAAATAGTGCTGTGAATATTGTGAGAGTAACCATCCAGATTTGATTTTGTGTAAGCCCCACTGCATGAAATGGAACCCATACCTGACACTGTATGCGTGGCCAAGAACCTGTGACTACATAGGCCAGGGACCTAAGGAGCAACCAAATATTATTGTTATACTAAAGGAACTTAGCAATATATCTCCTAATAACATTTTACTATACTCATGAATCAGTCTCTTGCTCAGCCACCATCAGAGAAGCTTCCTCCCTCAGGAGGCCACCATCAGAGAAGCTTCCTCCCTCAGGAGGCCACCATCAGAGAAGCTTCCTCCCTCAGGAGATGGGAACAAATACTGAGATCCATAGGCTGACAATATGCAGAGAGTGAGAGAACCTGGAACATTCAGACCTAAACAGAATGTCTCCATCATATCCCTCACCTCAGGGCTCAGAGGACCCTTTGGAAGAGGCAGCAGAAAGAGTATAAGGGTTGGAAGAGGACACCAAGGAAGCAAGGACTTCTAAACACAGTAGGACCAACACATGTATGAACTCACAGAGCTTGTAGCAACTTGCACAGGGCTGTACTAGATGGCATCCTAGAGCTGAAAACGGGGCACATACACCCTATATCTAAGTCAGAAACTAGTTCCAACTGATAACCATTTGCAAATGAAAATTTTTCTCCAAGTGAGTCTCACTAGGGAAACAAACCACTCTTAGAGGTAGTCCCCAAGGGCCGGGCAGTGGTGGCGCACGCCTTTAATCCCAGCACTCGGGAGGCAGAGGCTGGCGGATCTCTGTGAGTTCGAGGCCAGCCTGGGCTACCAAGTGAGTTCCAGGAAAGAAGCAAAGCTACACAGAGAAACCCTGTCTCGAAAAACCCTTAACAGCAGGAAAAAACAGTTACGAAGTAGCAACAAAAACTATTTACAGTTGGGGATCTCCACAACATGCGGAACTACATTAGAGGGTCACAGTGTTAGGAAGGCTGAGAACCAGAAGGCTGAGAACCAATGTCCTAGATGCTTGTTTTCTTTCTTTTCTTTCTTTCTTTCTTTCTTTCTTTCTTTCTTTCTTTCTTTCTTTCTTTCTTTCTTTCTTTCTTTCTTTCTTTCTTTCCTTCTTTCTTTCTTTCTTTCTTTCTTTCTCTTTCTTTCTCTTTCTTTCTTTCTTTCTTTCTTTCTTTCTTTCATTTTTTGAGACAGTGTTTCTCTGTGTAACAGCCTTGGCTGTCCTAGAACTCACATTACAAAGAAAAGGCAGGGCCTTTATGTTTTCTAATGGGAGCCAGATAGGGTGTGACTCAGGATGGCAAAGGAGGTAGGGAGGAACTGGGAAGAGTTGAGAAGGGGAAACAGAAATCAGAATGTATTGTATGAAAAAAATATATTTTCAATAAAAGAAAACCAATTGAATAACAAATAGCATTAAAACTCTCCCTAGGAAATACTTTGATTAAAGTAACAGTTTTCACTGGAAGATTATTGATGCATATTAAATTTCAGGCTTTGGGAGTGTCTTATGCAATTTAATCACTTTTTGTGTATTCACTGGCTGAATGGTCCACAGAAATAAAAACAGAAATGATAACCTTAATTATACCTAACACATCTGGCACTACTAAATAAACCCAAGGTTTGCTTCCCTTATGCTTTCTCTCCATAGTTCCTTTGGCTTAAATTAAGAAAAAAAAAAGTACAAAAAAACTATATACTAATATAAAATAAAAGACAAAGAAAAAGATACAAAAAAGAGACTATCAATGTGTAAATGGTGTGGTTTGAGGGAATGTCCTGGGAGGGAATGTCAGAAAGAAAGGGTGGGAGATAATAATACAATTCTATTTCAATTTAAAACATATTTTAAAATGAAAAGAAATCCCAAATTGTCAATAAAATTACAGGCCAATGACTTGAACAACACTTCTCAAAAGAAGAAAAAAATAGCCTATGAATATTTTTTTAAAGTGCTCAGTATTCTGAATTACTAGGGAAACGCAAATTAAAATAGTTGGCAATTTCATCTCACACTAGTCCAAAGGATCTATTTTCCAGAAAACAATTGACAATGAACCCTGACAATTCAGTGAGAGAGGAACACTTTTGTACTGTATGGGGGTAAACAGACTGGCATAGCCTCTGTGAAAATCAATAAAAAGTTTTCTCAAAAAGCTAAAACAAAACTTAATATTATATAGTTATGTCACTCCTGGATATACATCCAAATAACTCTTTCATCTACGACAGAAATACTTGAATATACAGAAATTGAATCAGACTAGCCTTTAGCTGGAAAATGAAACTGTGGTGCATGGAAATAAATGGAATTTTATTGAACCACAAAGAAAAATGAAATTATGCATTTTGCATGAAAATGGATACAACTGAAATGTATATTAAGTGAAGCAACAGTCTCAGAAACACAAATATTGTTTTTTCTCTAATATCTTAATCATAGATTCTAATATTCTATTCTTATATTGCATACATACATATCATTATACTCTTCTATAAGTATATTTTATTGGAGTGACTCAGGTATGGCCTGAGGAGAGGAAGTAGCTTTTACAGGAATGAAGTTGGGAGGGCCCTAGACACATGACAGCAAAGTGGAAATGGTAACACTGGAGTTGAAAGGCGCAATGTGGAAGACAGAACAGGGAGAGGCAGAAGCCAGGATCAAACAAGAGGAGGTGTTGAAATGTGATAAGAAAAACTGTTCCTTTACATGCTAATTTAAAAAAAAAATCACAAAATACAAATACAAATGTGTTTTTTTTCTATTTCCTAATCAACATGCTTAGGAATTTCTGTGTTTCACTCATTTTCATTTAAAAAAAAATTAGGCTCTTAGTGTGGAACTTTATTATAAACACAGGTATGCACACATACAGGTATTAAATTTAGGACCAAAGCCTTGTGAAAAAAGCCATAACTGATTTTCTTTGCTATCTTCAAAGACAAGTAAAGATAGAAATAATATCAACAACAACAACAAAAAAAAAACAAGCCGCTAAAATATTCTATGTACCCATGATAAAGAAATTTCACAACAACACTATTGTCATCCAAAATCAAGTATGCCTCTTGAGAATCCAGGTGCAGGTGGTTTGTCAGGGATCCTTAGAAATGCAAGACAATATCCATACCTTGATAAGGACCTCTTCGAGTGTAGTTTTCAATCTTTTCCTCACTATTTCTGAGAATGTGCAGCTGCAGCTGGCAACAACAATAGTTCAGCCGACTGGTGCCCATTTCTGGATTTAGAATCAACAAAGAAACAATCGTGCAGACTCACAATGGAGTGCATGCAATAGCTGTATATTTACAAATTAATAGGAAGCTATTCATTGCAAACACCTAGAGATGGTCATGAACGTTGAACAAGTCATCATTAGTTTTGAAAAAAAAAAACAAACTGGTTTAAGCTGTAAGATTTTGATGATTTGACTATTTATGACAGACTTTTATTGTTTTTTCATTCATAAGTATTTTAGCATAATATATTTTTAAATGGAGTTCTTATTCATATGAATACACACACACACACACACACATATATATATATATATATATATATATATATATATATACACACACACACTTTTAATAATGGTCACTAAAAAATAAACTCTTGGAAAAGAGAAAGGGTTTTTTTTTTTTTCTGTGAAACCACTAGTAATTCATAATGAGTTTGAGAGTTACAGGATTTCATACATTTATTTGACATTGTGGTAAGAATGTTGTATACAAAGACAGTAAGAATTCATCAAATAACACATTTATGTTCAATAATCTTTAGTAAAAGCCTGTCCTTTGAGTCATTGTTATTCATTACCTCTTACAATAAGAAGCTTCTCTGATAAAAGCTGAGAGGTGCAATAATCCATGAATACAGTTCATTAGGAGGCAAGTTACTACTATATCCATTTGGCAGAATGGTTGTGGATCTTCCCCTAGGGCCTATGACCTGTCTGTCTTACAGAGGTTCTGCTTGATAATGGTATCAGAAATGGGTGCCATCTAGTGGAGTATTCCTTAAATGCAATCAGAAAATTATTGGTTACTCCTATACTATTCATGACAATATTGTACCAGTGGAAAGGCCTTACCAAACTGCTCTTTGTTGGAACTCTAGGAGTTCAGAGTTGGGTAAGATGACTTTATCTTTTCTCCTCTAGTATTATGTAGAGAATCCTCTAGTGCTGTGAAAGCTTTTTTGTAGCAGTGAAGCTTTCAAGGCAGTGCTGGCTTGGTATCTCAATTCTGTCTAAGTGGTGCCTTGAGTAATAGGGTTTTACTATCAAGGTCTGGAGGACAAACAAGGGTATTGGCAATAACCTATACATTTTGGTGTCTAGGGGAATTCACTTGACAACAACCACAAAAAAAGTAATGCACTCCTGGCCTGTCTAACAAGGGCACTGTTGCCCCATTTTAGGGTAACTCCTCATCCACTATTTTTAGGTGTATATGTGTGTGTGTGTGTGTGTGTGTGTGTGTGTGTGTGTGTGTGTGTGTGTGTGTGTGTGTGTTAAGAGATATCTAGAGTAGTAATGTTCGGTCTGTCTTTTTCACCTGGCCTTTGTTATTAGTTACTCCTCCCCAAATTCCATACTCTATCCTTATATCCTCCATCCCATTTAATCCTTCTTGTTTCATATTGACCTTTGTCCTTTTATACTACTGCACTTTTCTAATGACTAAGGATGGAGCTGAGAGAATAAATCTGTTGAGCAATTTTCAATGTTTCTAATAACTTTGTAGTACATCTTTGCCTGCTCTTTTCTGAAGGCAGACAGAGGCAAGTTTTTGGGGAGCTTGGAGGAGTGAAGGGAGGGGAAATTGTGGCTGGGATGTGATGTAAGAAAGAAGAATCTATTTCCATATATATATATATATATTGTTTTTATGTTTACCTTTTTAATTCTTTGTATCTTCTACATGCTACTTCACTGTCAAATACGTGTGTGGCAAAGATTTTACCCCATTCTGTAGGCTTCCTCCTGTCTTGAATGAGGATGTCCTTTGTTTACACAGCTTTTTAGTTTTTTCAGGGTCTCATCTACTAATTTTCTTAATGTTTATGCTACTAGTTTCTGTTTATAAGCTTCTGTCCTATACCAACAAGGCCAAGCAGATTCTCTACTTTCTGCTCTACCATACTTAGGGTATCAGGTCTTATGTTCAGATCCTTCATTGATTTGGTGATCCACAGTGGTTATGGTGGGGAAAAAATGATGGCAGAAATATGACATCTATATCACACTCTCTTCTTCCTAAGATGAGAGATCATTGCAGTAGAGGGTGTGGATTCTGTGAACCAGAGACGGTTGACTAAAAGACATCATTTTTTTTTTTCCCAGACGCAACAGGGTAGTTATTCAGATGAACTCACAGCGTTTGTGACACCATGCACAATAACGTCAGAAGCTCAAGCGGACAAATAATGGACAGAAAGCCCCACTGCTGGTGGGAGAGGGAGAATCAGTTCTGTTTAAGGGTGTAACCCTGGGTAGATGGTTCATGCTCCATTGGATAACCACACAGATGAGAAGATAGGGATAGCACACTTGGCATGTGATGTTTTTATTTTAAGTGACTACAAAGTTAGGATGGGTAGAGAGATTCTTAGAATAGTTGGGGGAAGAGCGACTCTCATCAAAATATGAATTTACCAAAAACAATAAAAAACAAGCAAAAAATTATTTTAAAATGATTTTTGAGGGTTTATCAAGTGATATAAGGAAAATCAGAAATATATTACACCAAGCAAAATTGTAGCAAGGAAATAATATGATAAGTAACATACATTAAGCTTTTAGAAATATAGTACAATTTAGCCGGGCAGTGGTGGTGCGTTCCTTTAATCCCAGCACTCTGGAGGCAGAGGCAGGTGAATCTTTGTGAGTTTGAGGCCAGCCTGGTCTACAGAGCGAGATCCAGGAAAGGCACAAAGCTACACAGAGAAACCCTGTCTCGAAAAACCAAAAAAAAAAAAAAAAAAAGAAATCTAGTACAACCTAACTAAATAAATACAAAGATGCATAAAGAAACCCATTTTGTACATGAAACCATATTACAAAAGACTTTTATTAGTTTCAATATGCAATATAATATATACCACAACTATTTTCTTTTCTTTGATAAATAAATAAATAAATAAAACTAACATTAAACATCATTCAAAGAATCCTGAGGCTGACAAGATAGAAAAAAGATTCACAGGACCCTTATAGATAAGTGATGAAACATCATCTCTTGAATTATCCAGTCTAGAAATAATAAATGGAAATTATACTAATCTTTAGATAGTTGATGAATGACTTCAAACATCAAGGAGGTCATTCAGCTCTGGTACAGTAAGCACATGGAACATATTGATATGCTATGTTATGCTCAGAGCTATATTTGAAAAATATCTTGTGTCTCCAAAGAGAAGAGAAGTTTTGGAAGAGGCAGCCCTACATCTGATATCATGCAGAATTAATTAGAAAGTCATCAATATGAATGAGGTTGGTGTTTCTGATAAAGACAAAAATGGAAAACTGCTGTACAGGGTGTGATGGTTAGTTACAACACAATCTATAATTAATTACCTGGAAGTCTCAAAGAAGGATTTAGTTGGCCTCTGGGCTTGCCTATTTTGGATTTCCTTTTTTTTTTTTCATTGAGATAAGACCCACCCTGGTTTTGGGCAACACCATCTCAAGGACTACACCCTGCAATGAACAAAAAGCAGTGATTGATCTTAGAATACGCATGAATGTTTTGATTCATTAATCTCTGCTCTTGATTATGGATATGTGATTAGCTGCTTCAAGTTCTTACCACTTGACTGAGCTGCTGCAGCTTACTGCTACTTCCCCTGCTGGGAGATTGTGGGACCACAGCGATGCCCACAGGTAGCAAGCACAAAGATCATATGTGTTAAGTCACCAGGCAGTGTGCACCAAGGACAAAGAAGGAGTGTGGAGGCCTAGAGCTTTGGCAGATTCTGAGCCCAAAAGCCCTACCCAGCTGCAAGATCACCCTGACTCTGGGCAACAAGATATTCAAGACCGGATAATCCAGTATTTACGGAACTGAGCAGTACATATCCAAGGAAAAGAGGTGAGAGGAAGAGAGGTGGAACTAGAGAACTAGAACAGTAGGGCTGGCTGGCAGGGTAGCATACAACAGCCTGGAGCTTGGGCAGGCCTGCCCCTAAATGAGCTGCCCAATTGTAAGATCACTCCTCCTCTTATCTATGACAGAATGTCCAAGATGGAAAATGGTTCACTTTCTGGATTGGGCCTCCTTGAAAGACCTGCATGGTCCATGCTGCTGCCAGAAGCCATGTTGATGTCCGTAGTCCATGATGCAGCCAGAGATCATGTTGGTGTCCTTGGTCTGTGCTGACTCCTGAGTCTGTGTTGATGTCCATGGTCTATGCTGTCACCTGAAACTCTGTGGAAATCCATGATCCATGTTTCATCTGGCTGTTATGGACAAGGAAGCTAATTTTTACAGTGGAATCTACTGCAGACTCGTAGTTGAGAATGAAAGGCGCTGAAGACTTCTGTGACAACCTCTTGCCCCATGCTCACCCCCATAAAAGAAACAGTCTATCTGGGTTTGTGAGAATAGGAAGAAGCAAAGTGCTAGAGAGGCCCACAGAAATCCACAAAGATACTCACACAACAGACTGCTGGCAATGGTCGAGATACAGCCCGAACTGACCTACTCTGGTGATGGGATGGCCAAACACCCTAATTGTCGTGGCTAGAAACCCCATTCAACTACTGAGGGATCTGGATGCAGAGATCCATGGCTAGGCCCCGGGTGGATCTCTGGGAGTCCAATTAGCGAGAATGAGGAGGGTTTATATGAGCGAGAATTGTTGAGACCAAGGTTGGATAAAGCACAGGGACAAATAGCCAAACAAATGGAAACACATGAACTATGAACCAGTGGCTGAGGGGTCACCAACTGGATCAGGCCCTCTGAATGGATGAGGCAGTTGATTGGCTTGATCTGTTTGGGAGGCATCCAGGCAGTGGGACCGGGTCCTGTGCTCATTGCATGAGTTGGCTGTTTGAAACCTGGGGCCTATGCAGGATCGCTTGGCTAGGCCTGGGAGGAGGGGACTGGACCTACCTGGACTGAGTCTACCAGATTGATCTCAGTCTGCGGGGGAGGTTTTGCCCTGGAGGAGGTGGGAATAGGGGGTGGGCTGGGGGGA